ATAGGTCTGTCGAAAGTCTTTGTAAATTGAATTCCCCCTCATGACTTTCGGGTGGGATAGAGACCGGGATGTTGACAAGGTTGGGCCGCTTCATGGCATATCATGGCCGATGTTGAATCTCTTCCAGCGTATCGGGAATTCTAACACTCGCTTGCGTAGGTACCTTCCTCATGCATCTCACCCTATATTTGACCCTTTCCCCGTCGCTTACAGTTTCTTTCAATGAAGCAGAACTGTGCGTCCTGGCACGTCAAAGCCAATGGAATTCCGTACTGAATATTGACCCGCCAGTTATCTGGGTCGCCATGTTTATTGTCCTTTCGCGATGTGAGCACTTTCATTCCCATTAGAGCCAACCCCCATGCATGATGCACGTCCGAATCTCAGTTTATTCGAACTCTCTCCTGGCAAGGTGATCTCCTTATCACCCTCTTTATAAAATTACGTGTGTCTGTCTGTCTGTCCGAAGCCTTTTCAATCTCCGATGACTTCTTTGTCACCCTTTAGAACTCCGATGACTTCATTTGATGACAGCTCAACGCGTCTGTAGCTCAACGCTTCTGTATGCCTGGATGATCCGTTGTGGGTGTTCAGATGCCGAGGCTTCGGCTCACTTCCCACCGCTCCGCATAATCACCATCCATCGCTTCTAATTCAATTATGCTCACAAATCTCCGTGGATTCCCCGATGTATATCCAGTCAACTCAACTACTAGCAGAAGTGGACCCTCTTTACAAAATTATCTGTGCCTTTTTAATTTCCGCCCGGCCCAGACGTTCCAATTAAACTTTCTAGGTGTTAAACCGGCGCCAATGATTTAACCAACTGCTTGGTTGCATGCGCGCGCCTATAACATTTTACACAATGCCAACCATCAGCCCACGGAGTATCTGGCAAAAATGAATTACCGGAACTGTGTGGGCTGTTGGCCAAATCACTTCAATTATATTTTTGCAGTGACATGAATCCATGTGGTTTTCGATGGTTTGGTCGGTACTTTATTTGCATTAGGGTCTCTAAAGAAAACATCATTTTTTCCTTCAGTTCAACTCAAATTTTCTCAGTTACAAAGATGTTATCCAAATCAGCAAGTGGGAGACGGCGCGAAGCGCCGTCGACCGCTTGTACCTTACTAGGGAAAACCTTGGCTAATCCTCGTCCGCATACTCAGCCTGAACTCCCGAGCGACGCTCCGCGCAATGCACGAGGTCACTCTCACCTCTCTGCCGACGGTGCGTTGTGCTTCGTTTCCGGCATCAGCCTTCGAACAAGACTTATGGAGATGTGACAGGCCCGGATTGGATTGCCCATCGATGGCGTGCGCGTGGAGACGACTCGGAGCAAAGCGATATACGATATCCCTTACGAGGCTGAATGTTCTCGGAGTTGACAGTGCGAGCGTGAATTGACCTAGGGTCTGAGAGAGAGTCCCCTCAAATGTATTTAAATTTGAAGATCGTTGAGGTCTAATTATTACCTAGTGACTTGGTTCCTTGTCCATGGTTGCTTCCGCTGCCAGCCTAAAATGACGTTGAATCAAGGACCCAAAGTGAGAAGTGGCCTGACTCAAGGAGATAAAAAGGATATAAATGAGATAAAGCCGCTGACGGAGAGAGCGAAACTAGGGAAAGCTAGAGCTCCACGCTCTGAAACAAATGATTACTGGTAGATCAGATGCCGAGTGTTGGCTGCTCACTCACAAAATTTGGGCGTAAGAATGGGCTTGAAAACACGGAGCTACGTCGAATTTTTGTTTGAAGGTCGAAAGAAAACAACAGCCCAACCGGCAGTACATAGTATAAATGTATCAATGTGCAGGAATCAGGGCTCTCGACGAAACATTTGCGCAAGAGGCCAGCGAGAACAGGTCCATTCGGGGTCCATTCAACGCTGGAGTACCCTCGAAGTCGGCAGTGATGCTAAAGATTTCGAACGTTCCGTCCAGAGCCATTGGCGCGCTCCACATGGTGTACGCAGTATCGGGAGCCCCTGCCTCGGATCCGGAGGGGCGCGGGACGTCAATTTCCTGGACGATCGGGCGGCCAGTGTCATCGAGAGCCTCCGCAACGACGTATACTTGCTTCGGGGTGACGCCTTTGCGCACCTGTGTTTGCGGCGTCGGCATCAGCCCATATAAACATATCCATAACCGCAACACCACACGCACCGCAACGTCCAACTGTCCCGTGATGCCGTCGTTGCCCAAGTCCATGCACGACGAAGCAGACAGAACCACGCTATCCTGCAGCGCGAATCCAAGCCCCCCTTGGTCCTCCAATGTGTCGTCTACGACAAAGCGCATGGTGGTAATGCCGGCGGTGGCGTTGAGCGCCAGAGGCGGGTTGCCCTCGTTGGGGCCGAAGCCATAGAACGCGCCAGTGTGGCGCCCGCCGCTGTTGGAGAAACTCCCCGCAGCGGGCATTGTGATATTATTCGTGCCGCCGAAGTGGTCGTCCCAGAGCATACGAACCGTGTGATTTTCATCTCCGGTCAAGTTCCAGAACTGTACAAAAGAAAAGAAAAGATCCAAGTTAGTCCATCTGTCCAAATAAAGGAGAGAATATGACTGGATGCATTAGTACGTACCCGGACGCTACCAGACAATTGTAGCGTTTCTCCAGCGAGGATGAACTTGGTAACGCTGGGCTTGACGTGCAGAGGATGGATGACCTCAGTGAGCTGAACACCGCTAGGCACCGTATCAATCATACGCGCGAACAACTCTGCACACGTCGATGCAAAGAGGTCCGGCGAGTCCGAGAATCTGCGCCCCAGTCAGCGTCCGACAATAATGCGCTTCATACTTTGAACAAGAATGCCGACAACGCACGAGTGCATGGTAACGTTCCCGTCGCTGCCGAAAATTCGCTTGTCGGAATTCGTCGTATCGTTAGAGCCAACAACCAGTGGGTTCTGTGTCGAGCCTGAAATATACTCGATTGCGCTGCCAGTGAGGGTTAATGGCATGATAAGGAACATGGAGCAGACGCACACGTTGTTATCGAACAGCACGGAGGAGGAGTCGAAGTGCACGACGGATTCAGTGCTGTTTGGATCGGTCAACTCTGGCACAATATCGGGGAACGGATCGTGTTGGACACCGCCAAATGTGTGTCTGGCACAAGTGAGTGAGCTGCGGCGCTGTGACAGTGAAATGTGTGTACTCACCCGCATGCCACCAGTCCAATCATTTCGGTCTGCGTGAACCCCTGGCGGGCAAAGGACGCAATGTGGGAGTCCAGGTCGTCCTGTGGTTGAGGAACGCCAGGGGGACTGGGCTCCAGCGCGTCCACGCGTCCGCCACGGAATGCAATTTCTGGGCCCCCGCTGGATTGCAACCCAGCGTCAGCACGCTGGTCACGGGCGGTAGATCAAACTAAATGGGACCCACCAATTCTCGACGGCGATGACTAACCCGATGGCGAGCATGTCGGCGACTACAAGCCAACGCCGACAACAATCAATATTAGCGTCGATCAAATATGCGGACGCACCGGAAACGTAACGGTTGGCCTGGTCGCCGACGACATTTACAGTAAGTTGAAGGCCGTCTCCGGAATTCTGTAAGACCATGGCGCGTTAGCAGTGGTCAGCGCACGCAGGAGAAACGCACCTCAGGTCGCGCCAGCTCTTCCGCAAAACGGATCGAGCCGTCCATGCCCCCGGTGCCGTCGGTGGCGTTGTGCGTCGCCATGTCGTGATACGCCTGTACAAAATTAAGCTCAGCTGAAGTTCGCGCCGGAGGTGCGCGTCTCACCGTGCGAATCCAGTCAGCGGCGTCGGACCTTCCGGTGTGACCTGGGGAGCCCCCGCGGAGGAAAAAATCGCAGGGCTGGACGAAGGGTGCTAGCGCCTGTTCGAAGCGCATTTCTTCCAGCGCATCGAGCTGGGGTGAAGGCCAGATGTATGCTCTTGTACTAGTAGCCGCAAGGCAGGCAAAAAGGGCAAGTCTGAGCATTTTTTATTGCGAAGAAGCCCCCAGACCCCTTTTCAAGCCCATCGAATGCGGAATGCGGCGACCGCTGGCCGTAGATGGATTTCCCTAGTCTTGTCGCTTTGGTTTCGGGAGTGATCCCATCGTTACGTTGCTGATGTACCGTTCTGGTCGGTCAACTGGGACAGGACGTGCTGAGGTTCTTTCCGACGGAATAGGCCAGAAAAAACCCTAAAATAAAAAATCGAAAGAAGACTTACTCACATTTCTTTTATACTCGGAATGGGCCACACGATAAATACCCTACGAATTTTGCGAGGCACTTTTTTGTCCCACGTTCTGCCAGAAGACTGCTGCGGCAGGCTGCGGCCCTGTCCACATGTCAATTCGGTTGGCTGGGATCAGCGACATCGATGAGATGATGAGATACGCATCATCGAGAAAAGAAGCATTCGGATCGCAAGCTTACGGCATTACCAAACTTGAACAGGTTTGAGTTGAATAGAGCTGGTTGGCAACAGCCCAAAATGAAAATGGGTTAAAACTAAGCGAGAGTTGAGCAAAGGACTTGCGTCTGTACCTGGCTTTGGGGATTCGCCCCAGGATTGGATGTGTTGAACGTAATAAACGAGCAAGAAAGTGAGAAACCCTACACACCGGCGATTTGAGCATATTGGATGCCTCTGACGACACTGGACAGAGCGCTCAACGAAACAGATCAATAAAAAAAAAAAGCATCCCTACTCCAATTAGATTCGGACGCCGGGAGTCGAACCCGGACTGCAGATACGAAGCCGAGAAATTGATCCACTGCATATTGATCGTGAGCGTGCACTTGTGCACCACGTCCGAGTTACTTTGCTACACATGGGGATAGAAAGGTGAGTCTCTCTCTGCGCGTAATACAGGAGTGCAATGAGGCAGTTTTACCTACATAATTATGATAGGTTTGAAGAGATCATATCACCCGAGGCTCCCGGCGTAATGGAATGAAGTATGTGAATTATGTTAGAAAAGAGACGTAGCTCAGGACTCCAGGGGAAAAAATCGTTGATTCGCACGGATTCCGAACACCGGGAGTCGAACCCAGGCCTCCCGCTTCATATTTTTACCCCAAGAATGGCAAATGTGAGCGGGCGTGTACCGTGCACCATGTCCGAGTTTCTAAGGTTGGCGTGTAGGGCACCGAGATTCAGTTATTAGGAGTACTGTGAAGAACTTTGGTCTCCCGTGCAGGCGAGCGATAAGATGAGGCGAAGGCCTCTGAGTAATTAGCGAAATAAAGAGCAGAAAAGGTTACTGGTTACTGGATGCGTTCTCTGGGGTGTTCGGGCATGGTGTTCGTTCAGAAAAGGGGCCGAGAGAGAGTACTGATTCGGACGCCAGGAATCAAACCCGGTCTTACCGCATGAAGTTACCCCTGTGTTCAAGCTACGAATAGTGGGCGTGGGCCGTACATCACGTCCGAGTTTTACCTCTTGCCACGGATTCAATAAGAAGGTTTGGAAATATGATCAGTGGAAGCACGGTTCATGCAGTCCGAGGTACCCTCCTTTTTCTGAGTGCTTACAGGAATACGAGGATGTGATCAACTATTTTCTGGCACTCATTAAAGGGAAGGAAAAAGCGGACTCGTCATCGAATTTCGAACGCTGGGAATCGAACCCGGTCTTCCTGCCTGCATGGGATATGTAGATACACACACCATACACTGCTAGCAGGTAACCTCGTCCAGGCTACTCTCGAGGTGGCGAGGCGTGACACACGGAGAGGAGTCAGTTTTGCCGAAATTGGAAGAGATTATTTTACTCGACTGGCTGGCGCAAAGAAATGACGCCGAATAAGTTACTTACAGGATGGTCAAGAGAAAACACGTACCTGGGGACTTGAAAAAAATTCCGAGCGATTGGAACTATTTCGGACACCGGGAGTCAAACCCAGGCCTCCTGCTTTGTATTGTTCGTTCGAATGCAGCAATCTGAGCAGGCGTGCACCGTGCACCATGTCCGAGTTTCTGAGGATGGTGGGTAGTGAGTGGGAGAATTGAGGGATTCTCGGTGTCCTGCACAGACGGAGGTGGAGCGAGCAAAGGTCTCTGAGTATGAGTAATTATAATTACCGAAATAAAGACCAGAGAAAGGTCGTTGGATGCGTGCTCTGTGGTGCCGGGGTATTGTGCTCTGTCGGAAAAAAAAAAGCATACAATCTTCAACTCGGATTCAGACGCCGGGAATCGAACCCGGTCTTTGCCACATGAAGCTATCCCGATGCTCAGACTACGAATAGTGGGCGTGCACCGTGCACCACGTCCGAGTTACACCTCTCACCGGAGTTTGGGGTTGATAAGACCGGTTTTTTTTGGCACGGATTTAGTGAGAAGCCTTTGAAAATATGGTCAGTGGGACGCGGATCGTGGGGCGCTGGTTGCACGGGTGATATCGCCCGAGGCTCCTGGCGTAAAGACCTTGATAACGAATTATGTGAATTATGACAGAAAGATCAAAGTAGGAAAAAAGACGTACCTTAGGACTCCCACCACCGAAAAAAATTGCTTCGACATTCAGGTTTTATTTCGAACACCGGGTGTCGAACCCAGGCCTCCCGCTTCGTACGTCTGGCGTACGATGTAACAATAGCGGGCGTGCACCGTGCACCATATCCGAGTTTCCGAGGTTGGACATGTGAGTAGGAAATTTCGCAGACCTGACGGGAGGTGGAGTGAGGCGAACGTCTCCGAGTAATCAGCGCAATAAAGAGCAGAGCCACTGCGGTGTTCGGGTAACTTATGGCGTTCTTTCTAAAAAAAAAGACTATTCGAGGTGGCGCACATTCGGACGCCGGGAATCGAACCCGGTCTTTGCCACATTAAGGTGTCCCAATGGTCAAGCTACCAATAGTGGGTGTGCACTGCACCACGTCCGAGCTACACCTCTTACCGGAGTTTGGGGTTGATAAGACCGGTTTTTGGCACGGATTCAGTGAGAAGCCTTTGAAATGATGATCGGTGGGACGCGGATCATGGAGGGTTGGTTGCACGGCCAAGGCTCCCAGCGTAAAAAGATCTTGATAACGAATAAGTTGGATGAATTATGTATGACAGAAAGATTAGAAAAAGGACGTACCTTAGGACTCCCACCACCACCGAAAAAAAAAATGCGTCGACATTCAGGTTTTATTTCGAACACCGGGAGTCGAACCCAGGCCTCCCGCTTCGTACATTTTGCGCACATTCTAACAATCGCGGGCGGGCACCGCGCACCATGTCCGAGTCCGAGTTTCTGAGGTTGGTCTGTAGTGGGACATATGAGTAGGGAATTTCTTGGTGTCCTGCGCAGACGGAGGTGGAACGAGGCGAAGGTCTCTGAGTCCGAGTAATTATAATTACCGAAATAAAGACCAGAGAAAGTTTGTTGCATGCGTGCTCTGTGATGTTGGGGTCTTGTGCTCTTCCGAGAAAAAGAGTGGAAATGGCTGTGCGAATTCGGACGCCGGGAATCGAACCCGGTCTTCCCGCATGAGGTTAAATCATTACCACGCAACCAATGGTGGGCGTGCGCCGTACACCACGTCCGAGTTATACCTCTTGTCTGAGTTTGGGCGTAACAAAACTAGTTTTTGGCACGGGAGCTTTGAAAATATGGTCGGTTCACGGAGCGTTGGTTGCACGGGAGTTGCTCGTGAGAGTGAAGAGAAGATCTGGGAAAAAGGGATTCCTGTAAAAGACTTGGATGAAAAAATGCATTTGAATCTTCCATGGGCAGGACGCAGATCATTCGCCTTCGCAGAATAGCAGGTCCGAAATCACTGTATTGTTCGTTCACCGAAATACATGGGTAAGGTAGTATGGCCCAGATTGAACTTGAAAGTTGGAAAGACTAGCTACTTTTCATAGGCCCGCGTCGAGTACGGTTACTCATCCCCGTCAAATCATCGTGAGCAACGAGTTTCATTTCCGGAGGACCGGTGGTTCGACTCCACACGGGGGCATTATCGTTTTGTGTCTTCAGTTTTTTTTTCTTTGCTTCCGTCAAGAGTCTGGCCAGCATCAGAGTCTACTCTCAGGCGAGAAGCAAGAGAGCTGGAGAGAGAAATTAGAGAAAAATCAGAAGAGATGAAGCAAGCGGCATTTATTATTTGAAGCCATTTGAAGAGCACAGAAAAGACGAAAGTCGAGCACAAGCCCGGCCAGTTTGATCCCATCAGCAACGCTTGTAGTTGCGCTTGTTTGCCCACAGCCTCCTGCGTTCTACTCCCACCACCGACGTCATGCATAGTACTCCACTGGCAAGCTGCACGTATAAAAGGGGCGGCTCTTCAGCAGGATGGGGCTAACACTAAGTACCCTGCTTGGACTCGTCAAAACTCTGCCAATTTCTTTGGCTATTTGACTGCGAAAACCACTTCCCGTCTCAATTCTCTGCTTTACCTCTGCAAGTGCGCGTTACAATTAGTCAAGGATGACCACAATACACACCTCGACACCCAATATGGTCCCGACTATTCCCTCGGGCACGCTCCCGCAGACACCCGCGAACGAGTGGGCGGATGGGATGAACGACCTTATCAGCGGGCATGTTACACGCACGCCCGTTGGCACGCCTGGCCCTGCCGTGCCCGGCGCATTCCCCAGCCACCTTGAGCCCGATCCTGTACCCAACTCCACAGGTACTGCGAATGACGCATCTATGGGCGCGCATGAGTCGCTCTTCGCGACCGCGCAGTCCTTCTTACCCACCCTTGCCACTGCGAAGGCGTACCTGCCCCAAGGAGTAGCTGCGTACCTGCGTGCGTCTCTTGCATCCCTCACTGCTTGCAATTCGTGCTCATTTCTCTCTTTAGCTTCATCAGAAACGCTGACCACACCCGCCTCCGAATCCTCTCTCCCCCCATTACCGCCCTCGTCCTCGTCGCTCTCCTCGACGTCGACTCTCCCGCGACAAGACAGCTCTGCAGGCACATACTTCCCCTCCACAGACCCCGACCCGAGCCGCACCGCCACAGGCGACTCCGCCGCACTCAGCACGAGGGCTCACACCGGGCACTCCTCCTCCGCCATCCCCCCTCCTTCTCCCTCCGCAATCCCCCCACGTCCCGCATCGGGTCTGATACCCGCCCACCCCGGTGTCGCGCGCGACTCGCAGTCTGCGTTCACGCACGACAGCGGCCCGCAGGTGCAGTCCCCCCTCCCACAAGAGCTTGCGGACGCGGACTCAGGGAGCAGCCCCCGCCCGCGCGCCACCTCGGGCCTCCTCCCCTCGCACCCCGCCGCACCAGGCGCCGCACAAATGCACGCCCAGCGCACACACGCGCTCCAGGGTCCCGTCCTCACGCCCACGCCCACGCCCACCCCTGCCGACCTATCCACGCCCTCCCTCGTCCACACCGCGTCCACGGGCGGCGACAGCGGGTACGCCGCCTCCACCGAGACGGAGCTCGCGACGCCCGGCTCGGGGCCGCTGCTGTCGCCGCCCGTCGCGGCGCCGGAGATGGTGCCCTCGTATGCGCAGCAGCCTGCTTACGGCGCTGCTGCTGCTGCACCAGGCGCCGGGCTCCAAGGCTCCTCTGCGCTGAACTCGTCGAGGGTGGTGGATAACGTGCCGACGGGCGACTTCGATGCGCCTTCGGGAGAGGGCGAGGGGGACGCTCCGATGTCGGGCGTGCAAGGCTCCACTGCGCTGAACTCGTCCCAGCTGGCGGATAACGTGCCGAGGGGGGACCTCAACGCCCCGCCTAAAGAAACAGAGGGGGACGCGCCGACGTTGGGTGTGCAGGGCTCCGCTGCCCTCAACTCCTCCCAAATGGCGGACAACGTCCCCACGAGCGACCTCTCGGATGTCAGTGGGCAGGGCTCCTCCGACGGCGATGGCGTCGTGGGTGGAGGGGAAGACCAGGACGCCGATGCAGAGGAGGGCGACGCGCACGCGAAGGGGAAGGGGAAGGGGAAGAAACCGAAGCTGTTGCAGCGGCTGAAGGAGAAGATGCATGTCGGCCATGGGTCTGCGTAGGCTAGCCGGCTGTGTTGGGACTAGTGCTTTGTATCGGTCGATGTAATACGGTTTTTGTATGGTATTTCTGCGTTAATGTACAAGTACTACTGGATCAAAAAAAAAAGCAGTGGCAGGGCTTGACTTGGTATTCGGATGCTGGGAGTCGAACCCAAGGCGGCCCGCCTCAATGACAAACTCGCAACAAGCCATTGCGAGCGGGTGTGCACCGTGCACCACATCCGATTTATTGGTCAGTGTGGGTAGCTTGACTTCATGGTACGATTTGTTTGGGGGCAGAATCTTCGGAGGTAAAAAAGCAGCAAAAAAAGATTTCTTCGCATCAACATGATTCGGATGCTGGGAATCGAACCCAGGCTTCCCGCTGCAGCACATTCGAATATTTTGCTATTGCGAGCGGGTGTGCGCCGTGCGCCACATCCGAGTTATTTCTCATTGTGGGTGCCTTGAGTTCATGTTAGAGTTTTTGGGCAGAGGATGAGGAGGGCAAAAAAAATAAAAAATAAAACAGTAAAAAGGCTTTATGGTTTAATTGATGTATACGGTTACAGTATTTGGATGCTGGGAGTCGAACCCAGTGCTGTGCAGGATTCACATGCGTACTGTATTGCAAGCAGGTGTACACCATGCACCACATCCGATTTATTTCTCGAACATGACTTATGGGAGATGTGCCAACAGGCCCGGTTTGGATTACCCATCGACGGCGTGCACGTGGAGACGACTCGGAACAAAGCGATATATGATATCTCTTATGAAGCTGAATGTTCTCGGAGCCCGACGGAGTCACAGAGCGAGCGTGAATTGGCCTAGGGTGTCTGAGAGATCCCCTCTTAAATGGATTCAGAGATCAAGTTGTCGCGAATGTTGAGCTTCACCTTTTTGGAGGACGAAGACGAAACACAGCAAAGCCTTTGATCTCCTTCGCCCCATTTCCTGATAGCTTTACTGTTCAACTGGAGGTCCCGGGCCGGACACAGACGCGGTCATGTGATGAGTTTGAGTGAGTTTGGAAGCCGAAAAGGACAGGTTCTTCAAGTTTATGTCAAAGTTCGAAAGCGGTGAAAGTAACTTATGTATCTAGCAGTCATTTGGTCATCACATTGGCGTATTCCACACCTTTAATCCATACCTTCTCAATGTTCCGTGTCACCGAGATATTCGCGATAGGATCCCCAGAGATCAACAGTAGGTCCGCCCGCATCCCCGGAGCCACCAGCCCCCGGTCGAATAGTAGATTGTGCCGTGCAGCTAAACTCATCACCAGTCTGCCCAGAGACGGCAAAATCTTCGTGCAAGCACGTTGCCGTAGGCAGACTGGTACAACTCGGGCTGTGCGAAAGGGCTGAGCGCGGAGTTTGAAATATTTTTCTTTTTAACTCAAGTCTTTCAATTTACCTGCTTTATGAAAGGTGTAAAGGGGTGATTGATTCCAGGGATTATAATCTTTACTTCTGCTGGTTCAGACTTTTTTTCAGCCCCCTGGGGGGCAAGCACCAAATGACCACTTTTATACGGGAATTGATGGCTCTGCTCAGCCACTGTGATGCCGGTGATCGGCACCACTCAAAATTTCAAACTCAGGCTCAGCCCTTTCGCACAGCCCGAGTTGTACCAGTCTGCCTACGGCAACGTGCTTGCACGAAAATTTTGCCGTCTCTGGGCAGACTGGTAACGAGTCTACCGTGCAGCCAAGACCACACGAAGTGCCTCAACAGTGGAAAGACCTGCCTGTACGAGCAGCTCGAGCTCTGTGTGGAGGCTACTTCCGTACGCTAATGCGAATGGGCCCACGCCGTTATTTGAGTCTGTACCCGCAAGAATGGGGACTCCCGCAGCATGGAGGAGCGCAGCGTTTGCCTTTGCCATAGCGAATCCCGGAGCACCGTCGGGCTTCCCACCTGTGGCCAATTGTTGGAAGATTGAGAGAGTGGGTACAGAGACAATGCTCTGGGCGAGGAAGCGAGTAATCAGCGAAGACACTGCGTTCCGACTCCCCGTACCACTCACCTAACTCTACCAATCCTACATGTACTTACATGTGGCGAGGTTTGTCTACATGTGGCTACCTATGTGTACGCAGGTATGTACACTCACCTTCGGCTATCTAATCCTAGGTCCACTTACGTGCTTCTACGTCGCGTAGACACAGCCTTGGCTACCTTCGGCTACGTGCGGCTACGTAGGTCTACATACGTGCCCCGTCGGCAAGGGAGGTTTGACGTGGTCCGACAACGGCCGATCACCTACTTGTGCCGACATCAGTCAACTGCTGTGGCCGACCCTGATCGGCTGTTGTCAGCCCATGCCGACCCACGCTGTCGATGGCACCACGGAACACAGCGTCTACATGCGTCTACGGCATGAACTGATGTAGACTAACGTAGACCGAGGTAGGAATAGTTTGTCTACATGGCCCATCGTCTACGGGGGTAGACACACCCTCTGTCTACGAGGGGTCGGAACGCAGTGAGAGTTGAGGGGCAGATCCGCCGGGACGTGGTGGGACTGGTCCACCCCTGCGGCTAAAACCCGATCCACGGCGGCATAGTCGGCTGCATGACCTACAATACGCAGGCCATGGGCGTGGGCCAAGACGACCAAGGCATCCATCGTCGCCTGGCTTAGAATGGGCAAGCCGAGGTCTTTGGCGACGAGTTTTATGAAGGCGGCCCCAGCAGCGTACTGCTTGGCAACGAACCGGGGCGCGTCAGATGGGGAGGTTATGGTTTCGTTTGGACGTAGACCCAACATCATCGCGTGCGTGCTATTGGGTACATTGGCGCTCAGGCCGGAAAAGCGCACATCGGGAAGACCGCTGTGATTTGTTAACGAGTCGCAGACGGGATAGCAGCAATAGCGGTGGTAATCCCATAGGAAGCAAAAGCCTCCAGGTGATCCACGAATTGCGGGTGAGTGTGAGCGTCGATGAGACCGCTAAGCAACACACCGCCGTTTCCATTGACTACCGTGGCTCCTGGGGCATCGGATACGATAACCCCCCGTTGATGAATACGGTGCCGAGGGGCAGGAGTTTTTCGCTGTCGAAGACACGGACATTTGTAATAGCTGTCTTCACCGGCGTCGAGCTATGTAGCACCATTTACTAGGATTGGTAAATACAGGCATCAGTTCAAGACAGATACCACTGTACCTTGCCGGGCGTTATTTGAACGCGCGATTTGAAACCCCTCATCGTAACTCCGTACCGGTACGGAGTGTTCTGCATGAGGCCCGGGACAAGAGTACGCTGGAAGAGCCAGGAGAGCGACTGTAAACAGGGCGAGTACGTTGAACATGGTGGAGGTAAGTACTTACAGTGTTTCGTCCTGGGAGTTTATATAGTCCGCCAGTTGCTAGCCGATATTCATGGGCGAGATACTGGGACCGGAAGACATCCGCGCGGAGGGTTTACCGACGAGTCAGCTGGGTTTACGCTGTTAAGGATAACATCCGGTGGTAGACGTGAGAGAACACGGATGATTTCATTGGATCTCTTCTACATTTTCTCATCATAGCTCGGCACAGCGTGAGAAAAGATTAAGCTCGACAAGAGCCTTGACAAGAGCAAATGATACGGAGTATTATGGACGTTATTCGGGATTTTGGAGAGAATAGGGCCAGTCAGAGTAGGCGATTAAGGCGCGATTATGGACGACGATTCAAGAACGATTATGAATTAATTAAAGCGTGGGATAATCGCCAGAATCGTGAGTCGTTGAGAATCGTCGAATCGCCTCTCACTGGGGGCAAAAGACGACGCACTCGGAAATCGACTGCTTCCAACGCATTCAGTCAACATTTGGGCAGATTATGAAAGAAAGGTGCCAATCAGCTTTATGGCACCTTTGTTTCTGAGGGGTGACTCACGGAAAAACAAAGGTGCCATAAAGGTGATTGGCACCTTTGTTCCTCGGGATTCCTGCATGCCAACTGAATGCGTTGGAAGCACTCAATGTCCCAGTGCGTCGTCCTTTGCCCCCGGTGTCTGGAGGCGATTTTACGACGACGATTCACGATTATAGCAGCGATTCCGGACTTGATGGTCAATCCTTACTTACCGCAGATTTATCTAGAATCACATCAAAATCCGGGGCGGTCAGAATTGGTGGATTAAGCTGCAATTATGCATGATTATGGTGTTTTAAAAATTCCATAATCATCGCAGAATCGTGGCCATAATCGTTCGTGAATCGCCTACTCTGACCCTAATACAACTGTTAAAGATAGGACAGGGTAAGACTGAGAAAGATATTCTTAGGACGGCAGAACAGCGTGTGGCGTAAGCAGTTACAGCTAATCTCGGTACCTGAGGTGCGAATGAAAAAAATTCCATTTTGGGAATTTTTTGATCCCTGGGACCGATTCACTAATATCTCAACAAGTTGACATCAGATTGACTTGAAACATAGCTAGTTCTTTCATAATAATTCCACTGCAATTTGTGATAGGATTAAATTTCCCAAAATATATATTCTTTAGCAACCTAGCTCAAACAGTGGGTTTTGCTTTGAGCACGTCCCAGTCGAGCTAAACTTTTTGCTAGGAGGATTTATGTACAGTTCAAAACATCTCATAGGATTGGAAGTGTCAATTTATACCATGGGATCCTGCAATTGTACTCGGACACAGCTGCATTGGGAAATATTGAGTCAAGACAAACTCATGAATAAATTGACATTTCCAATCCTATGAGACATTTTGAACCGTACATAAGTCCTCCTAGCAAAAAATTTAGCTCGATTGGGAGCCATCTGGACCTGGTAGGATGTGCTCAAAGCAAAACCCACTGCTTGAGCTAGGTTGCTAAAGAATATATCCTGTTTTCTCACACAGCCAGTTGTAGTCTGCCATGACACGAGTTATGCAAACAATAAGTCGATTCTGAAAAATGAAGGTGATTAGTCCACATGTACAACCAACATTAGACAGCTTGCGCAAAAGCCGCACGAGCCGTGTGCGGCTTTTTTGCATTGCGCAGAGCCGCACGGAAACCTTTAATTTGATGGGCGTAGCATATGTTTATGAGTGGGATTAGTATCATTTTGCCCTACAGTAGCCGTCTGCAGGCATATGACATGTTGTCGGGTACAGATATGACATCATTGATATCATAGAACCCAAGTGGCGAGGTGGAGTGGATGTCGAAGCAGTATTGATGCAGTCAAATTCTGGCTTTCCCATGCCTGGGCCACCATGATGTCCACAGAATACACAGATTCTGGTCATTACAGGCCAGTTTCAACTCCGAAATGGTACTTGTTAACGTAATAATTCATATAACCTCTGCAGCTCTGCGCAATGCAAAAAAGCCGCACGCGGCTCGTGTGGCTTTTGCGCAAGCTGTCTATTATCTGGGAAGAGCTCCTGCTTTAATCATTCATGCGAAACTTACCATGCATCTAAACACTCTTAAGACACAGA